TCATACGTATATGAGATCACCCCCTTGTTGCCACAGCGACTCCAACCAGCGGGAACAGCATTGTACATGTGACCTGGTCGAGAAGAGGCGGGTCTACGGGATGCTCTGTGCCAACATGTATCTGCTTGTTTAACATCTCAGCACATTTTAAGGCTCATTATTCCTTTAGTTTGAAGGAAGTAAACAAGAACACTTCGTGAGTGTAGAATTGCTTTTTAAGAAATCAGTGGTGAAAAAGCAAGCTGCACTTGATCCCATTACAACACTGTAAAAAGTATCAATATGAGGCATGTGCAACTAAATGTCACCATGTATCAAACTAAAATATGACCTATCTATCTATCTATCTATCTATCTATCTATCTATCTATCTATCTATCTATCTATCTATCTATCTATCTATCTATCTATCTATCTATCTATCTATTACAAAAATTCTGTTTCTTGCCCCGCCTTGGTTGAATACAGCAGTTAAAGATGTTGTTTACAACTGCATACACAATTACTTTCCCTCAAAATGTGTTTATCAAAGTGGAGAATACCCTGGGCTATTTTATGTTAACAATCAGAGTATGGAACTGAGGAAACAAGTAAAAAACTAAACTGGCCAAGCATCCAATGATCAAGTATCTTTTCAATTAGAGGACAAAATGTCTTCAAGGAAATAAGCAGAAATGACAAACCATGTCAATTCGCCAAATGCTAACAGTTCAACGAGCACAGTATTAAAGACAACTGTGCAGAAACGCTGCAGTTTGTGACTGAGAACAGGGGGAGGTTGTGGAGTAGCCAAAAATATGAAGATTGCTTGCCCAATGAATACTGATAAGCTGCCATGGTCGCCATGGTTATAGTATTCAGCCAATTACAAGACAGCAATATGCCTCCACTGTCTAATACACACACACACACACACACTAGCAAACGGCTCATTCATAGAGCTGCAGGCAGCCGGCCTACTACATCAAAATTCATATTCAAAAGGAACCTTGGAGTTCACCTCAATCCAGGTCCTAAATCATGTAAACAGACTGAATATTTAGTTTAAGCTCTGAGCGAGTACACTTTAGTGTTTTCTGCTCATTTCCATAAAACAAGAATTTCTTTTTTAAATCAAGATATCTAGCAGGAATAAATCCTCACAAAAAAAATAAATGATGAAAATAAATAATAAATACAATATCATGTTATAAGTTAGAGTGCTGGTTTATCGCTGTCGTTTTTTTGAATCACTAATATCCTTAAAAAAATACCCAAATGATCCATTCTTATCACTCTGTAATGAAAGAGATGATCTCAAATGATTTGCAAACATTCAGAACGACGTTCAACCTCTCAACAGTACACATTAAATTGCAATGCGGACATTTTGAATAGATTGACTGTCAACTGATGCATACAAAGCCAGCGCTGGATATGTAAAACGAGAAGACACATAACATTATCATAAGAGGAATTATGATAAGTTTGACTGGTGTGATAAAAACAAAGTCCATGGTTTTGTGAGACGCTAAAAATACACCTAAAAACCCAAAAAAAACAGGGGAAAAAAATTAATAAATTCGGAGAAGTGTCAAATTAATTTAGCCATATAAGGAAAAAAAATAAATAAAAAAAACAGGCTTTTGTAACACACCATTGTACTAACAAGGCAAGATGACAATACATTTTCACAAAAGAATCTGGTAATTGCCTGTCAATATCAAGTCATTTTTTAAAGTAACAATGAAGGCCCTGTTATTACAAATATTCACAGACAAGAGTCTATAATAAAAACTACTTGTCAGGCATTTAAACAAAAGGTATTATATTTCCTCTTCCAATAGGCCTATATTTAATGCACATTTATATCTTATCCAATTTATCTGTAACATCATCATTTTGAAAAACTAAACTATATATATATATAATATTTATAAAAAACAATTGTATTGCATACATTTCTTTAATTATTGTTGGCTACATATTAATTATTTTGTTTAAAATGTTTAAAGCTATTTGCTATTTCTTATATTAACCATTGAAATAACATTCCAAATTCCACTGTGTTAACAATGTTACTGAAATTATCCTTAATACGAGAATGTCTTAAGGTTAAATAATTTAGTCAAAATATCAAATTTAATCTTCAACTAACTTGCATTAGGCCTCTAAAAAATAGGCTACCTTATTTTTGACCCAGAATAAATGTAAAATAGAGTAGACCTATATTAAAAGTCTCCTGCAAAGAATAAATACAGTAGGCCTATAATAAGAGGGCGTTATGCCAGAGGGAAAAAACAAAACAAAACAAAACAAAACACACACACACACACACACAAAAAAAAAAAAAAACCTCACACATGCCAAGATATTGAATACAAGCGCTTTGAGGACAATAGTGGTGATGTCATGTTTTAACGCGGTCTGCAGGAAAGCTATGCTTCAAAATTCAAGCTCAATACGCCACTTATTTTACATACACACGCCTTATTCCCACACTAATTCAGCTCAGCAGAAGCAGCGTGTATAGCCTAGCTATGATGCCTGTGAGATATTCACAGCCGTTATAGGCTACTGTTCCTGCTTTGGGGCCCGCGTCTGCTGAGGCTGGGAACGGTCGCCACTTTCTAAAGGGATGCAGATGAGTCGGGTGCACTTGACATCTTTTCATGACCCATGTCGCCCCCAGCCCCCCCAGCCCGCCGGCGCTGTCTGTCATATTCTGGATAGGGCCGTGGCATTGCCACTTGCCCTCGAGCGTGGGAATGGGAGCGTCCAGTCGTTCACATCTACTGCGCTCCGTTTAACGGAATCAATTAAGGAGGACCGACCCCCTCGCTCCCCATGTGCCCACCCCTTTTCATTTTTGTCAGCTCTCTCTATATGTCCTAATTATTTCTGTTTGGGATGCCAGCGCCGTTTCCTGGCCAAAGGCGACCGAGCTGAAATAAATAGTGAGCACGTGGGTTCCTCTCTCTTCACGTGTCAATTTTCAGTAAATTGGTGAGATCATATCAACTTGAATATTATTCATTTAATCCCTGCACGTGTATTAATTTAATCTGTTGCGTAAAACAAAACTTCCTTAGGGGAAAACGAAGCTGACTTTTTGCATTTTTGCGCGCGCGAGCGAGTAGAAAAAGCATAGCCTTTTCAAAGCAACATAATAATGCAGCCTAAGAAAAAAATAAACAAATAAAAAATAAAACCCAAATTCTGTCTGACATTGTGTGTAGCTATCAGCTTTCCATATGTATTGCCACATAATACAGCATAACACATTTTCTTTTTGTAAATGTAGCCTATATCTTCGTGTCATTAGGCATCCAGAGTTTTCGATGATCCAGGAGGCAGTTTTTACTTTCGGTTATCTAGCTTTATGAAGTGGAAAATACTCATACAGCTAGATAACCAAAGATAACAACTCGCTTCCAATTCCACAACAGTAATCCCCGGATACCTCGGTGCCTTGTGTAAGAATAAATCCAAGTGGAGAAGTTGCTAAAAAACACAATAAAAAACAGGCACGGGACTTCACATTGTCATTTGTAGTTCTTAAAAAGTAGGTGTGCTCGCAAGAAAAAAATAAAATGACAGTTTCTTCACAGGGTAACGAGAATAAAACGGAAGCTATAATCCATTTGACATCGGAGCAGTTAACGTTAAAACAATATGAGAGTTGGAGAGAGGGAGCCTGTCGAATAAGAAGCAGTCATCCTCGCACAGGCCATCATTTGCATTGCAAATTACCTCCAATCTCACAAAAGGCTCCTTTGGCTCTATTAAATCGTGGCAGCAGCGATAGATATCCCACGGAACCAGCAGCGAGATTATTTACAAAGGGGAAAAAAAATCCGATTCCAGAGGAAAAAAGTGCACACGGAAATAACATCGCGTTTGTTTCGGCACTGCATGGAGAGATCTCTCTCTTATTTTTGGCCGAGTGGTGGAAGGTTGTCCGTGCACGGAGGAGATCGGTAATGCCACAGATCCCTGAGAGCTGCTATGAGAGAGACGAGAGGAGGATTGTGTTGCTGCTGCCAGCGGTCTGGGAGAGGGAACAGGGCCACATCTCGAGGAGTGGGGGGGTGGCGGCGGAGGGGGTAAGCGGGGGGGACGGGCTTCCAGTACCAAAATATGGACCAGCCAGAGAAGGTCAAAGGTCTCGGACCAGAGTGCGAGGCGATGATGATGAGGATGATGATGTCATTAGAAATCTCCAGAGCGCGTTCCCAGTAAACACAGAACGTTCCCCTAACGTTCCCATATGGTTCCCATTTGGTTATTTTTTTGGGAACCAAATAAGAACGTTCTAAGAACGTTCTCTGTAGGTTTTTTTTTTAATAACCTAAAGAGAACGTTCCGGGAACGTTCCCTGCAGGTTATTTTTAGATTTAATTTTATAACCTAAAGAGAACGTTCCGGGAACGTTCCCTGCAGGTTATTTTTAGGTTTAATTTTGTAACCTGAAGAGAACCTTCCCAGAACGTTCCCTGCAGGTTATTTTTAGGTTTAATTTTTATAACCTAAAGAGAACGTTCCGGGAACGTTCCCTGCAGGTTATTTTTAGATTTAATTTTATAACCTAAAGAGAACGTTCCGGGAACGTTCCCTGCAGGTTATTTTTAGGTTTAATTTTGTAACCTGAAGAGAACCTTCCCAGAACGTTCCCTGCAGGTTATTTTTAGGTTTAATTTTTATAACCTAAAGAGAACGTTCCGGGAACGTTCCCTGCAGGTTATTTTTGGGTTTAATTTTATAACCTAAAGAGAACGTTCCGGGAACGTTCCCTGCTGGTTATTTTTAGGTTTAATTTTGTAACCTAAAGAGAACCTTTCCAGAACGTTCCCTGCAGGTTATTTATAGGTTTAATATAATAACCAAAGCTCTCTGTGAAAGTCCAGGTTTACAGTTGAATATTCAACGACAATAATGTTATTTGATATAATCAATAGGCTACTGCTTTCATATTCTATTTACAAAGCACTTTCAGGACATCTTTATTGTATATATTTACGTGCTGCATGATTTTGACGTGGTTAATCATTAATGCCGTGCACGTGAACTTTCGAGTCTCTCAAACACTGGAGCGGCCGGCGCGCAGAGTTGCCATGGAAACGGCGCGGGACCACTGCTACTGGTAAACAACAAAACTCCCTCTCTCGCTGTTGTTTCAACTTTTCACGGCTTTTTTCAGGTGAGATTACTCTCTAAAAGCACACGAATAATACTCACAACTGTTTTCGACATTTCTCCTACTTGTAATTGACACGATTCTGTTAAAAATGTACTTTATCGACATGGTGTAGTCTTCGGAAAAAGTCCGTAGAGGTAACTTAGCAAGGCTAATGAGGTAGCAGCTAACGTTAGCAAGGCTAACTAACATCCACGTTAACTCGGTTGAACTTTTATTTATTAAAGTTTCTTTTAATCACCTCTTATGTGTAAATGAGAGGTTTTGTAAGGGTTTTACAGTGAGCTAATTTATTTAACGTAAACGTAACGTATCGGTGATGTTTCAGGACTTTCAGGAGCAATTGGCCGAAACTAACGTTAGCTCAATGGTAACGTTAAACACATTTTGATTAAATGTTCTGTGATTTCAGTAGTAACGAAATAACCCATAACAGAGAGAAAGCTCCTACTTCAACATTTCTGAAGAAAGCTGCTGCCGGAGAAGTAACGTTAGGACACAGGTGAGCCGAAGAAGGGCAATAAATAAAAAAACATTTATGATTATTAGCAGTGTTGAAAACAATTGTGCTGCTTCATATTTTTGTGTTTTTCAGGATTATTTGATGAATAGAAAGGTTTAAATAACAGCATTTATTTGAATATATTTGTTAATGTAATGCATCCTTGCTGAGTAAAAATTTCTTCTTTTGTTGTTCTATTAATTTTTAAATCTATCATTGACCCCAAATGTTTGAACATTAGTGTAAACTACCCTTCATATGTTTGTGGTCTATTTAACAATGAATCTTGGAGGGGAAAAAATGGTTTAAACTGTTACAATGGTTTACACAAACACATTAATCAGCATAACTGTTTTTAACATTGATAATAATTTCCTATTAATTCAATTGAATATGGTGACTTCAATTTACATGACGTCGTGAGCAATCAAGTCGTTTATATAGATCAGTGAGTAGTGCCCAGCATAAAAGTCCACTAAAGGAGATTTCTCGCATTTTACCCCTAAACTCTGGAATACCTATGAAGGTAAAAGAGTAACAAGACTCGAGCATGAACAATAAATACTTGTATGCTAAAATTTTACAGCTCCAACGTGAAAACCTCATCTAATATGCAATAACGTTGAAAAAAATCACAGTTTCTGTCCTGACGGAAATTTTCTATCTTATTTTTTGCTTTGCAGAACAAGTTTGTGACTGACTTAATGAACCCAGTTGGTTTGGATCATGCTCAGAGATGTAAGGGTTACAAAAAGTTAACCAGAACTCTTATGAACTCCATCTTGTCTTTCAAAGAGATGGCAACATGAACGGAAAAAAAGGGGTTGTTGGTGAAAAAAGAGCCTTGACCTACAAAAGGTGCAGCTAATAATTGGTAAGCATGTCTGAATATCTTTTATCAATAGTTATTATATGACAAGCGCTGAGCGCATCTGTCAGCGCCAGCCATAGCGTGGAAAGCACAGTTTGAATCTGGCAGTTATGTCACGTCATGACAAACTTGTTTTCAAATTTTAATGTAATCAATCTCATTTCTTACAGACTATGTCAAAAAGAGGCACCCAGGCATCGGAGGCACTGAGATCAAGGTCTGCATGACACAAAAGTTAAGAGATCTGAGGAGACGAGCAGAAAGGTAATATTCAGACGATCCAACATCCAAGTGTGATCCCTATGTGTCTGTTTACATTTGCGAAACCGACATGAGTGAAGACTGAGGACTCAGTTTATTCCTCAGTCTACATTGTGATCTATTCACATTTCGGGAACGTTCCCTAAAGGTTCCCGGAACGTTCTCCTAACCTCTACATCCCGATATGCCTGTACACAAATAAGTCTACAAAAAATATCTTCTATGTTGTTTATTTTTTCCAAAACATAAGAATCGTATGAAGATTACTACAATAAATGTAATGTATGCACAAAATTTCAATGCCACGAAAAGCCATGCACATATATTTTAAATATATTTATAAAAAAATTTCAAAATTGCAGTTTGAAACCATGAAGATAACCATGAAGATAAAGATTCTAAAACTAAAGAGATTAGCCTGTAATAATTTAATAAATGTAAATAGGACATATATGATCATATACTAATTAAATATCATGAGAAACTGACATTGTTTATTGTTCACATTGACCTGAATAGTAATTATTTTAAAAAATTAAAACAATTGATTGTATGAATATAAAATCATTACAATAAATTAAATGTATGCAAAAAAATGTATCTACATATAAAAACCGTGAACATGTATTTTTATAAACAAAATTACAAAAAATTACAAAATTAAATAAAAAATAATCATGAACTTGAAAACATAACAATTCTAAGACTTTAGGAGATTATAATAATAAGTTTATAAATGTGAATAAATGTGAATATCTCAAGACAATTATCAATGAGAAACTATATACACTTTTGTTTAGCACACATATTATACATAAATATAAATAATTATAAATAATTATACAAACCACAACATGTAAATAGGAAAACGTTTGAGTTATTTTGTCACTCATTTGGATTAGTATGAAAGCCGCAACCATTCACATCCAGTCTTTGTGCTAAGCTAGGCTAGCGGTGGGTGCGTCAAACAGACTTATAGCACGCACGGAGATGAAAAAGGTATGTATGGACTTATCTAACTATGGGGGATGAGGTGAATAGGCTAAAGTCCCAAAAAGTCGGAGTGTTCCTTTAAGGTTCAGTCATTTCACTTAAATGGCAGTGACTGATTGAAGAATATATTTTTTTTTTACTTTTCTTTGTAATAATGTTACTATTTGTTATTCTTACAGATGACTGTGGTGAAGATGGATGAAGATGGATGAGGCTTTCAAGTGCAGGATCTACAATTGTTTTCGTTTTGCCTGTTTTGAATGTGATGCACAGCCTAGGCCTATATAATTGTGTTTTTTTGTCTGTTTTTAATCAACAATTAAACAATGAATCGACAAAAACATGGACTGTACAGGTTTATTATTTATATAGATTTACTGTTGTATTTTATTGAAGTAAAAAAAAAAGATGAATTGTTGTTGAACATAAAGAAAACTATTGTCTAACTAAAAACAAACCATAAAAAAATAATGTTCTGGGAACCAAAAACGAACTTTCTGGTAACCAAAAACTAACGTTATGATAACCAAAAACTAATGTTCTGAGAACGTTCTGGGAACCAAAATCTAACGTTCTGAGAACATTAAGAAAACTTTCCCAGCTAACCAAAAACAAACCATAAAAAATAACGTTCTGAGAACCAAAAACTAACGTTCTGAGAACGTTCTGGGAACCAAAATCTAACGTTCTGGGAACGTTAAGAAAACTTTCCCAGCTAACCAAAAACAAACCATAAAAAATAACGTTCTGAGAACCAAAAACTAACGTTCTGAGAACGTTCTGGGAACCAAAAAACACTGTTCTGGGAACCAAAAACTAACTTTCTGAGAACCAAAAACTAACGTTCTGAGAACGTTCTGGGAACCAAAAATCACTCTTCTGGGAACCAAAAACTAACTTTCTGAGAACCAAAAAACAACGTTCTGAGAACGTTCTGGGAACCAAAATCTAACGTTCTGGGAACGTTAAGAAAACTTTCCCAGCTAACCAAAAACAAACCACAAAAAGTAACGTTCTGAGAACCAAAAACTAACGTTCTGAGAACGTTCTGGGAACCAAAATCTAACGTTCTGAGAACGTTCTGGGAACCAAAAATTGTTAGCTGGGTTTGTTTCCCTCGTGCAGGTTGAAGCTGCGATCCTGCACGCACTATGTCTGCACGCACAATGCATTTTCAACGACGAGCATATTGTTGGAAATATTTCAGAGGCAATGCCAATCACCCTCGATCACGAGGATTTTAGATTGTGCGACTGAATAGATGGAAAATGTTTGCCAGCGACACGAGGAGTCTTGCGATCATTCCTCTGGCATTGACAGATGACAAGCAAAGGTATGTTTAGCAGAATATAGCAGATCTAGATGTTGATGCCCTCATTCTCTGACCAATGATATCAGAATCTTTATTCAATTAGTTTGCAATTAATGACATATTCACGTGGATTTTCTTTTCAAGGAGAACTGTAATTGAGTGCAAGTGGATAACAAACATAGGCTATCATTCAAAACGTGATGCTGACTTTCCAGCATCTGTGTGGGTTTCAGAATGTGGGACTCACAGTAGCTCTCTCTCTCTCTCTCTCTCTCTCTCTCTCTCTCTCTCTCTCTCTCTCTCTCTCTCTCTGTGTGTGTGGAAAGCTGCAGAACATATGTAATAAAATTATCTATATCACTTATCTTATAAAATGTGTCTTCATTTAATTTCTCCACTCTCTGAATACCTGAGCCACTTGTCACAATATGGATGTCAGCACAGAAGGTGTTCTAGGCCTATACAGGATCTCTCGCCTTAGGTCTCTAAATTTTGGACTTGCTTAAGGTCAAAAGACAGATATCATTTGATTTAAATCTGCATGATGGCTCACGACTGTATTGGTTTAGGTTAACCTTGTCACAACATCAGTTTCGAACCATTGTCCCAGGTAGGACACATACTCTCAGCAACAGTTCATTTAAGTTTATAAAGAGTTTAAGAATCTAAATATAGCCAAACACAAATAACAAACACAAAGCAAAGCTAAAATCAATAGGAACAAAACATTTGACTCTTTGCAAATTACAGCTCAGATAGACTAAGCATCAACACATATTGTATAAGAAAATGTACACATGTATACAGTAGAAGTTGCCTGCCTTTCCTTTATCAACAACACGTGTGTTTTTTCTTCCAATAATCATAAAGAGGGCTGATCAACATTACAGTGATTAAATCAGAAGTAATGACAGCTCACATAACATCTCAGAAATTTGTGTGAGAAGAAAAATGTGTGATTGATGAATCACTGCCTGGAGAAGAGAAATCACATTTTCTATCCCAACATGCAAAATGAAATTCCCTCGCGCACAATGACAAGATATGTCACTGTCACCCATACACATATAGGCTATCACTGCATGAGACTTTGGCCTTGAGACCAGTGCCGTGCTTTGTGTTAGATCAGTTCAAAGTATGTTAGCATATGACATTATTCTACAATGGTTATTTTACCTCGGGAATAAATTTAAAAGCATATTGTTCCATCAATGTGATTTTTTTTTTGTCAAAGCCTGTAACACGACTAGCATATTATTCGTAATGGCCATAAAAAAAGAAGGATCAGAATTGTCGCCAGATGTAGGCTACTCACTTGAGCAAAGGTTTTTTTTTTTAATTATGCCGAAGCCGACGTGACCAGATGCAACTCCTGCTGTAGGTAAAGACGCCGGCGTGCACGAGGAGCTTTCGGTTTAAAATTGCCGCTAATACTCAGTTGATTGCGCGTGCCTCAGCGGCTCTGATTCTCACAAGAGCGCAGTCCAAGCGCACGAGCACGACAGCTACCGTATAAGCGAGAGCCAGTGAGAGGGGGAGAGAGGGAGGAAGGAGGGGTTGAGAAGTTTCCCATAACCTATTTGTCTGCAGTACCAAATAGAAAAGTGTACTGTTGAGCAGAGAAGGTCGGCATGTCCCCCCCTTTCTTTCCTTTTCTTTTTTTCATGAAGGGTGTTCGGGAGGGGGCAGTCCTCTCTGTGAAAGAAAGGACGTGCTCTGAAATTCAAACAAGTTCGCCAGGTCTTTTGTTGGACTTGAACTGAGGAGGCATTGTTCCTCTATTGGCGTGGACTAGCCCCAAGTTCCCAGACCAGGTTACGGATTGACTGCGGTAATGAATTTGCTCTGAGCGCTTCTTCCCAACACGTTTTGACTGACGGAACAACACTATCTCACGACCAATTCGTACGAATTCGACGCATGATTAAAAAGTGGCTAATTCGTACTAATTCGTACGACCTCACTCGTACTAATTCGTACGATTTGTCTAAACCCACGTGATGGTTAAGTTTAGGGGCGGGGTAAGGGGTAGGTCATTCGTATGAATTCATACGAATTGGCCAATTCGTAAAATATGTACGATTTAGCAAAATCGTATTAATTCGTACGAGTGAGGTCGTATGAATTGTTACGAATTAGCCACTTTTTAATCATTCGTCGAATTCGTACGACTTGGTCGTGAGATCGGGTTGGACGGAACGCAATGGCAATCTGACACTGAGAGGACATTATTAGCTCGGAGAAACCTTGCACACCGATACGTAATGGCTTGTGAAGAAAAAGAAAAGAGAAAAAAAGTGAAATATTTACACTTTAAATTTAACATAAGAGAGCACTTATAGCTACGCATGGCACAGATAAGGCCATGAATCAGGCCTAATAGGCTCTACACGCAACATTTGCAGTGCGAGAAAGAATTTTGCAGTAAATTCTCTTTGGGCACTGTAAAATAAAATAAATGATCAATAAGTTAGGGCAACGTGTGTTTTTACATTGATTCAGCTCATCAAATAATAATAAAAAAAATCAACTTTTTTTATAAATTATACAATATTCATTTTTTAAATAGTCAGTCAATAAGTAGGCTGATTTAAGTTGAAATGACTTAAACATCTAAGTTTATTATACTTAAATTAAGGCAGCATGTTATTTTCCACCTATGCAACGTCAACAAAATGGCCTACTTTTTAAACAATAGCCTACATTTAAGATGTAGGCAAATGTAAAATGGAGAAATAAATAATTATATTGTTTATGTTTTGTCAATGTCTCATCCGATGATGATCCCAATAAAAAGTGCAGTTGCTATAGTTACCTCATCTGATGAATGAGATGCTGTACGCCGGTTATAGCTTATTTAAATACGGACACTGCTTCTATCTAACTTTGAACATCATAGACCCCAACATAGACATATTTACTTATAAGACCGTAATGCCATACCTTTTGTTTTGACATGTTGGGGTTTCAAACCTTAATTGGGGGCCAGACACCCGCCCCAACCCTAGCAAATTCACACAATTAATATCCGTAACCTATTATTTATATTTTTTATATTGTCATTATTGCAAAGCGTTTTATTGACGCTCGTTCAGATTTTAAACACATCTCTTCATTGGAGATTCTAAACGTTTCCAAATAATCATGCCTAATTCTTATTTTTCCACAGTTCTCATTATTGCAAACACTTACGTTTGACTAAAACGAATTCACGTTTCAATTTTACAACGAGGTCACGTCCAATGACGTAGCAAGCCTATCGGCTACGTGCAGCCATATTTAAATACATCAGGGAAATTAGCGCATCAAATATGCAAATCCCCCAACATAGCCTTTCTTTCAGCGGTCGGAGTAATTTCCCATCATCGTCTTCGAGGTGGCTTGTTTCTTTTTTTTTCGGAAGAATATGTGAGTTGCTGTTTTTATTGAAAGGAAGCACCTTTCTTGAGCGTGAATACTTGGACGATATTGCAGCAAAGAAGCGGAGCCATATTTTTTAATATTGATGCATATTTAAAAGGTATATTTGAATTTCCTTTGCATTCACGATGGCTGTGTTGTCTTTATTTCCATCGCGTTTGACGGTGTTTTGGCTCTTCGCGATGCGGATTTGTACAGGCTAAAGCATTGTATCCATATCCATTAATGTACAATTTCAACCATTGAGAAGCTTCATAATAACTTCATAATGTTTTTTTTTTTTTTCCTATTTATTCTTTAGGATCCGCCAATAGATAGGCTACAAATATTATAAAATGCACATTCAATGGCATTATGAGCGAACAAAGACATTTGAACGGCTCAAACAAAAAGGCACAAAGAGCATTGTGACATTAGCATATCATTAATTTAGAATATCTCTCATTCAGAAACAGTCGCTTAACAGACACTACAGCCTATTAAACAAAGCAAATATTTGCATACAATTAATTTGGAGACGTCTATTCGAAATAAAATGAGTAAAGTAAAAAAAAAATAATAATAATGTTTATGTGCACCTAACAGTAACATAGTAATTAAAATAGAATACACTTTGGTGAAGTACATTAATAGCCTACCTAATTCAAAAATTAGCATCCTATCTTTAGTTTTCTAGTTGCCTTAAATCACATAATTGGTCTGCAAAAAGAAATAATGAAAGCATGAGGCAAATGCTTAGAAAATTAATTGACAAACGAAATCTATTGTTTTGAACTTGCCATTCACACAAACATCGTCGACCTCAAAACTTACCGCTAAAGTCATCATTAGGCCTAATATCCATTTCCTATTAATATTATTGCGTTCACTTTCGAGACATGACTCTTTCCCATAACTTTTTTTGTTGCGCAATCTTAGGCATCTCTCCTTCATAGTTCATCGTAAAGCGTCTGATCTTCATCTTGTAAACCTTTGCTCAACTGATCTGGCACCCAATAGAAGTGGTCAGACGGGCACGCGTATAGATGTAGCCTACTCCCAATGGGTCAACACACGTGCACGCATGTTTTCCGCCTAAAACAAACTTAAGACAGCATTGCAGCCTATACCTCTTTATACGAACAGACGTCAATGAGAGAAATAGGACTTACTTGTACTCTGTCTGTCCTCATCTTGGCGACTTCGTACGGTCCGAAGTTGTGTGGCATGTGTGCTCCGCTACGCCTGTTTGCAACACAGCAGGACCGCGATTACCATACTTATGCATATTTAAAACCTACAGAGAAAAGGCTTTCAAACTTTCCCACAGCTCCTATAAACTATAATGGGTGACAATGACTCATCACGTCTTGAATAATAACACACAATTATTGTGTGCCATTATTGGATAATAAAACCGATCTATTAGGCTATCTTATAATCTTAATTCATTATAATTTTATATTACAGTATTTTTGTTAATTAAATTCTTAAGATTTTAAAGGGTTTTTTTTTAGCCATTGAGAAGTAGTCTTAGTATAAAATTAACACGCTATATATAGCCTATATAAAGTCAAATTTCGACTTCGCGGAGAATGAAAAGGTATTTCGGAGAATTCATGATGACATCCCAAATATATAATCAAAAAGTATTTTAGTAACTTTGAGACTGTTTACGAGGTCCACAAAATAGACGTTGTTTCGCAACGAGAAAAAAAATGTGTAGAATTGTTGGATTCACTTCTTTCGATCCGTTAGCAGACACATTAATATTCTTGTTTTTGATTATCGTTTTCCCCAATGTGTTCCTGTAAATCTACAATCTTGACTAAAGGCTGTTAATTAAAAATATGAAGTTAATATCATATTAATATAGGCTAGATGTAGGATAAAAATGGAGAAAACATATTTAGGGCATTTTTTGCATCACAAAAACATCTGTAATCCAGCCTACATTTACGAGGGTAAATTACAGGAACATGAAAATATAAATTGTATGGCGTCTAAACGAGCATTGTGGCTTATTATTTCTCATTCTCCATCTCATTTCCTTCTTTTTTTTGTTGTTGTTCTTTTTTTACAATCATTGATATCATCACCACTGAATATATAGCTAGCTATATAACATACATAAGATATGATTAGAGAGTTGTTTAAGTCAATTAAACGTGTGATAGATAGAGAGAGGCGCGAGGAGGCTGCATGGTTCCCAGGTAATTCAATACAAAGACATGCATGCTTTCTTTCCATTGTTTAGCTCTGCCGAATAATGTAGTGCACACCTCAAGATTAACACAGATTTATAAATTAAGCATGACAGTGGGTATTTACAAATAGCCTATTTTAAAAACTGAAGAAGAAAAAAAAAACCTTCAGGTTTCTCAAACTTCCCCCCTTATAACTGTTAGACTAGCCAACATTTGTATTTTCCGTACCTCACGATCACAGATGAGGCTATCCCAATTTCTCTTAACGAGTAATACAGAAATTTCTCAGTTAAACTATATTATAAATGATATTTCAAGACGTTTCTAAATATTGCCTCAGCCATTGATTCTCAAGAAATTCGAAGTAAGACATTTTAATCGTCGTCATGTATTTCCGTAACGCGCGGCGACATCTAGCGGTGCAACGCTCGAACGGAAACTGCTGCAGAAACAAATGGAACGATTTAAGTTGGACACGAGCGATAATTCCATTCATAAATGAAAAGCAAATTATAATTGTAATTATATTTGTGTATGCATAAGATTTTCTTTTCTCTATAAAAGCTCCCATTAAAGTTATCAACTGATTGAGGCTAACGATTTCAAATTGTAGGCTAAGCAACTACTGTATGAAGTGGCTAAATATAAATAAATAATCGTTTTCTTTAAATTATATGAGTTTAGGGTCATTTCTCTTCGTTGTGCACGTTTCACAATTTTCTATTTTTGGGAAATAAAATTCAGCATTCACACATAGGCTAAGGAACGCAACAGTTGTCACACCATTTATCCAAATAGTCGGTTTATGATAGATTTCTTTGTTAGATCCGGTTATATTTTTATCGGCCTCTATTATGAGCGATGACCAACAGCTCTTACTCTAAATGATAGGCTATGCAGTAGGCCTACCTCGAGGTTGTCGGACATCTGCATGGAAACTGGAAATATGTAGGAAAGTCCTGTTCGTCCATTCTCTCCGCGTCCACTTAAGCCAGAGCCTTAAATAAAGCCAAGAAATGTGAAAATGATAGAGACATTCCAAAGTCTTAACTCTATAAAAGTCGCGGTCACTGATGGCCAATACGACAGATTATAAATGCGTTCTCAATGCGACGCATATGAGCCTTAATGCTTTTTACATTGTGGTTTTCAAATTTATAACACTAGCAGCACATTCGATTTTATCTTTATAAAACAACTTTAAATTTACCATATTCACTTGATGTGGGCTAGTTAAAAACGCATGTATTCCCCCCTTTTATGAAGCATAAAATGTCTTTGAGGTGTTTCTAAATTTTATATAGGCCTTTATTTAAAATATATATTTAGGCCTATTATAATATTTATCTGGTAATTTAGTCATTTTCGATTCGCTATTATTGCCAAATCATCTGCAACAATGTAGCTAAGAGACGAATTAAAAATGACATATTGCATATGGCTGATTAAAAATGACCAAAGGCCATGTAGCCTAATTTAAAACGAACGCATTTTTTTCTTCTTTATTTGAATCCAGTGGAACTGCTATTGCATGTTTTCGTTCATTTTCTGCAGAAAGCCACCTTTGAATCTCGAAGCAAGATTATTATTATTATTATTATTATTATTTTATTTTTTTTTCTGGAGTCACAATGAGAGCATGTGAATGATTAGCAATGATTTTTAATCGTGGAAAGTTTCACAGAGTTCAATGTTTAATAGAATTTGGGATGAGATTATCAAAATAAAAATAATTTTTATAAAATAATTAAATACATTCATAGGATAATAATATTTTTTGCTCAACTAACCACTTATACAAGTTAATTTGTTAATTACGTGTTTGGAAAAACGCGGTTATTAATTGTTCATATAATCTAAACTTCAAACCAAGATTTAATTGGCAGGAAATGCCAAATCGCAATTTCTTTCAAAGGAAAAGTGCGCCTGATTGATTCTCTTTCATTTGTTTTTGTTCATAAATAATGTATTTTTGTTACAATAAAATTTCTGAAAGTGTGATTTAAATGAAAATATATTCTTTCATGCTGCATATAAGGAGACAAGAATGCCTGACGAAAACCTGTTGATTAAACGTTGAAATAATCTCTTTGTTGTGTCTTTCTTCTCGATCATTACATACTTTCAAAAACACTTACATTTTAGATTTAACATGTTATGTGTTATATATACGATAAGGGTACTAAAGCAAGTATATAGGGAATATCTTCCTTCTCAAAAAATAGCTCATTGTGATAAAGTTAATTATTTTCCATAATGTAAGGATAAAAAAAATAAACTTTCATATATTTTAGATTCATTGCACACCAACTGAAATATTTCAGGTCTTTTATTGTTTTAATACTGATGATTTTGGCATACAGCTCATGAAAACCCCAAATTACCCAAAAATCTAAAACAAATTAGCATATTTCATCTGACCAATCAAAGAAGTGTTTTTAATACAAAAAAAAGTCAACCTTCAAATAATTATGTTCAGTTATGCACTGAATACTTGGTCGGGAATCCTTTTGCAGAAATCACTGCTTTAATGCGACGTGGCATGGAGGCAATCAGCCTGTGGCACTCCTGATGTGTTATGGAGGCCCAGGATGCTTCGATAGCAGCCTTAAGCTCATCCAGAGTGTTGGGTCTTGCATCTCTCAACTTTCTCTTCACAATATCCCACAGATTCTCTATGGGGTTCAGGTCAGGAGAGTTGGCAGGCCAATTGAGCACAGTAATACCATGGCCAGTAAACCATTTACCAGTGGTTTCGGCACTGTGAGCAGGTGCCAGGTGAAAAATGCAGGTGCCGTGCTGAAAAATGTCCAAATCTCCATAAAGCTTTTCAGCAGATGGAAGCACGAGGTGCTCCAAAATCTCCTGATAGCTCACTGCATTGACCCTGCCATTGATAAAACACAGTGGACCAACACCAGCAGCTGACATGGCACCCCAGACCATCACTAATTGTGGGTACTTGACACTGGACTTTTTGGCATTTCCTTCTCCCCAGTCTTCCTCCAGACTCTGGCACCTTGATTAACGAATGACATGCAAAATTTGCTTTCATCCGAAAAAAGTACTTTGGACCACTGAGCAACAGTCCAGTGCTGCTTCTCTGTAGCCCAGGTCAGGCGCTTCTGCTGTTGTTTCTGATTCAATAGTGGCTTGACCTGGGGAATGCGGCACCTGTAGCCCATTTCCTGCACACGCCTGTGCACGGTGGCTCTGGATGTTTCTACTCCGGACTCAGTCCACTGCTTCCGCAGGTCCCCCAAGGTCTGGAAGCTGGAATCGGTCCTTCTCCACAATCTTCCTCAGGGTCCGGTCATCTCTTCTCGTTGTGCTGCGTTTTTTGCGACACTTTTTCCTTCCCACAGACTTCCCACTGAGGTGCCTTGATACAGAACTCTGGGAACAGCCTATTTGTTCAGAAATTTCTTTCTGTGTCTTACCCTCTTGCTTAAGGGAGTCAATGGTGGCCTTCTGGACAGCAGTCAGGTCGGCAGTCTTACCCATGATTGCGGTTTTGAGAAATGAAACAGGCTGGGAGTTTTTAAAAGCCTCGGGAATCTTTTGCAGGTGTTTAGAGTTAATTAGTTGATTCAGATGATTAGGTTAACCTTTTCATGATATGCTAATTTGTTTGAGATAGGAATTTTGGGTTTTCATGAGCTATATGCCAAAATGATCAGTATTAAAACAATAAAAGACCTGACATATTTCAGTTGGTGTGCAATGAATCTAAAAAAATATATGAAAGTTTTTATCATTACATTATGGAAAATAATGAACTTTATCACAATATGCTACTTTTTTGAGAAGGACCTATACATGAAGAGTTCAGATGCAAAAGCCTCTAAGTGCCATTTGAAATTTTCTTCTAGAATGATCATTTTTATCAAGCTTGTATATTTAAGTTCAGTGATTTCACTTAAATGGCAATGATGATTACCTATTAATTGTTATTTAAGTGAAATTACTGAACTTAAATATACAAGTTTGATAAAAATCATTATTCAAGAACAAAATTTCAAATGGCATTTAGAGGCTTTTGCATCTGAACTCTTTACATACACAGGGAATATAGCCTACATCTGATAAGAATATAAGCTATGTGATGAAATTGCCCTCTTTTATGCACTAAAAATGTCAACCTGTTTTGAGGCCAACATCAAAAATGATCAAAGATAAATATCTTAGAATGCAATCAAAACAAATAGCATATACAATTCAAATACAATACAAATAAAATGCACACACAAAAAAATTAATCGAAGAATATGAATGTGTAGTCTACGCCGAATTTGTGCAGTAGACCTAGTCTTTATCGTTTAAAGCATTAGTTCAGTAATATCTGTTTCTGTTTCATAAGCGTGTGAATGCAGGCGGTATAAAAGCTGTGATCTTTTAAAATATGAACAATGGTGACATCTTGTGGCCAAAAGGATTCATTGTCTCTTCAACAGCCTCTGCTGTTTCCACAATAAATTCATTTGCATTGGGTCACCTCAGATGTGACTTTTTTTTTTTAAACAGAATAGACCTATTTAAAGATTAACCACACATTCAAAAGTCGACTCACAAATTAAATCTATAGCTGGTCTATTACAAAAAGCCTATTAGACTAATTTTACTAATACACCAGCTATATGTTAGCTTTGTGGTTGGAATTTAAAGAACAAACGTTATCTGCTTAATGTGCAGGAGCTAAACATCTTTCAGGGGGGATTTGGGGGGTTAGATTAATACCTACAGTAGAAGAATGAATGACAGGCAGGTGTTGTGGGCGACGTCAGCAATTTTATAATGTTCGTTATAAAAGCCACCAACGCCCCTCCTTGCACAAGCCAGTCGCGTTGGCATTACCATGCTGACCAGACAGTATAGCCCATATTTACATTTTAAAGCAGAAGCTAAGCGAAAAACGACGTTATTTACCTTGTTATAGTTTGCTTAACCGTTTTTAAGCTCTTGATCCCTCAAACAGGACTTACCACTGTTTAATGACTTGTTGGTCTCTTTATTTTACTCACAGTGTTCCTTAAAGGAGGTTTAGCGGCGTGTTCTTCTTGACAGGTGAAAAATTTGGTACGTGCCGTGGTTTTGCATCTTATGAAAGTGCCCCAAGTTCATCCATTATCACGCCCTCAGCTTACGGTTTACTTAATGGACTGGACACATGTGCACGCGACATAAAGCCGCTGAAAGCCTTCTGATTGGCTAAAAATAGTTAGTGCTAACTTTATTGTTTTACGTTACAGACTTTGGCTATCGTATTTGAAGAGTTAAAACAATTAAATATTTTAAGAATCAGTTCATCTTTTAGGATAATTTTATGTAGGCCTACAATCGAAAAAACAAACACACAAAACACGATAACAAACATGGAGTAGCCTACAAACAAACAAACACACACACACACACACACACACACACACACACACACACACACACACACAAACACACACACAACGCTAACAAACATATGCATAGCCTACCAATATAGCCTACACATTATGAAATTTGTCAATGAGATTTAGAAACATCAATTGTAAACGAAAATGTTCTGAGCGGTTTTATTTAGGCCAATTTTATTTAGAAAAGTCAAAATCCAAAGTGGTAAGCCTTGTGTGCACCTCTATGTGAAGATATGCCCAGACATGATGACCAAGGTCTCTCTTTTGCTGCATAAAAACTTACTATTCAGCATGGATGCTTCTGTGATTAATAACTTTATGTTTGATTTAGAGCTACTAGACTAAATACATTTTCACCAAGCTATCTTGCAATAAAGGTGAGGGACAGAACACAATAAAAATCACACCAGGACGTCTGTGTAACTAAGAAAGCCAGTAACTTTACTGAATTCTCTTCAAAATACAAATACCTTTTTTTTAAGTCCCAGCAGGAGAAACAAATTTTATTCCATACATTAATGTTTACTACATACAGCTGAATCAAGTCCCTTGAGATACAGAGATGTGGTTTTAATTTAATGACATCTTGTCTTCAAGTGGCGACAAAGTCCAGCTTGTGCCGCTGAAAGCCTCTTTCTCCTGGTTAGAAAACAAAAAGACACTTTCTTTCAACCTTACCCATTGTAGGTTTATACAAGCTACATTTGTTACTACGGAAATTTTCAGCATTTTATTTTTTATTTTTTTTTCATTTTTTTATTTTGTTATTTATATACTTAATGGAAACAACACGAGAGAGAGAGAGAGAGAGAGAGAGAGAGAGAGAGAGAGAGAGAGAGAGAGAGAGAGAGAGAGAGAGAGAGAGAGAGAGAGAGAGGCTCAACCAAAATTAAAAGAAAAAAAATAAATAAAAATAACCGGAGAGTCATATATTGACAGTTGAAATCTATATAACAAACAATGGCATTGTTTCATAATACTGTACACTGGTTAGTTGGAGGAGAAAGTTCCAAATTCTCGACAACTCATTGAAAGGTAATCTGAGGCACTGGGAGGGTGAGTCAGAGGTACCAGACTAGCATGAACAACTTGTGAATAAACACAATGGTCTCAAACCCAGAAAGGATAATGGATTCATTGGCAAACATAACATTACTTTTTTTTTTTGTCTTTGGTAGAAAAAACAGACTAACATATGTCCTGTCAAATTCACAGAATGCACAATGATAGATATGTATAACAATTGAACAAAACTAGTCACAATCCACTAAATGATGATACAAGCTTACACAAGCAGTCATGAGGTATCTATGACCGTGCTGTCTTATATTATAAAATCGTCAGTTCAATGTTGATTAACGTGACACTGGGAACTTTTAAAGGTTGTGAATATTCCAGAAAAAAATGGGGGTGGGGAGTGGGGGATTTATGTTTAAAAGTGTGACTTCAATTTCAAAATGTCATTCTGAATGTATTTGCCCCTGAAAGACTCAGTCCGGTGAAGGAAAAAAAAAAAAAAAAGAAGAAGAAAGAGAAAACAAAACGGTGTGCAACTGCACATATTCCCTGTAATGGGGAAAACAAAGTTATGACCATCATTTTTTTTTCATCATATATATTCATATATTAGAAAGCTATACACAAGCATGTTAATTTCACAGATTCTTTAAAAAGATTCTTAATATTATTATTCAATATACTTAGAAATACACGTTTAAAAACAAAACTTCTACAAAGAGAGACAGAGAGAGAGAGAGAAAGAGAGAGAGAGAGAGAGAAAAAAAAACATTGAGCAAAGCAAGGATTCACTGTCTCAGATTTCATGGCTTATGGTTGAAAAGCCCAAGGTTTCTCGTTCTTTTACTATCATTTCTCGTATAAGCAAAGCTATCAAAACACATTCTGGCTCTTATAAACTACAAAAAGCCACAAAAATGCTTTGCATTGTATTCCTTTTTGATATGAAAATAGAAGCAAGTGTATCATACATTTTTTTTTCTCTTTTTCCTCTTTTAATACTGAACAACAACTGCAAGTCCTAGGTTTAAATGTCATCAGACTGAAGTAACATGGCTCTTAATTTAAAGTCCTTCATCTCGGCGATGCCACTCTGTCCTGCCATTTCCTTTCATTCAGCAGGAGAGTTTTAGTTTCCTGAAATACCCACTCCCCCATAACTTAACCAAGGAACCTGCACATATATCTGTACAATCCTTCGAAATTCTTGCATAACAGTTTTGTTTGTGTGAAAACAGCAATAATGACCAACCTTGACCCTTCCCCCGTGTCCCAGCCTTGTCTCTATGTACAATACGTTGAACCTGCAACATGACATTGTCACCCATAACATACATTTAGCGAAGTGGCCCTCTGAATAGAGTGGCACTAAAAGAAAAAAAAAAAAAGAAAAAAAAAAAGGAATCTGTACATATTGTACTGGTACATCAACTCAAGTGCTAAGCTGTCACCTCTCTGCTGTGCTCCTCTTGTGGCTGAACATCACTGAGGCAAGTATTTTACAAAAGAAAAAAAAAAAAGATCCAAGAGTACCTGACACTTTTTGTTGGTTTCTTACTCTGCATACATGTACACCTACACAACGTGTAAATATATATGCATGTGTGGTAATTCTTTACATTGTATTCCACACACAGCACAAGTAATGCATAGTAGCCCGCCCACTAAACCCTCCCCGACCCGGTTTGTGCTAGTCCTCCTTCCTTGTTTCCCTCCCTGAAAACCCGTCAATCACAACAATACGCATATCAGACACACTCTGATGAAATAATAAAAGTTAAAAAACAAATGTTACAGGTCATTTCGAGAGCACTTCCTCCCCTCTCCTCAGCAAACCAGAGAACAAGGGGAGAGTAATGATTGTGACTTGTCAAAAACGGCAGAGAGAAAGCGAGAACGAGTGAGGCGCCGTGGAACCACGTGGCATCGCGCGGGGAGGTCAGGATCGAGGATTGGGCTGTCCAAGGGGGGGGCATCGCTTATCATGTGGCCCACCCCTCTGAGAGGCGGACGCGCTTGATGGATGGGCTGTCTTGCTCGTCCAGGCCAGGCCGGCCCAATCCTAAGGGCGAATGGAAGTCGGGACGGTGATCGTCGCGGTCGCTGCCCTCGTGCGAGCTGCCGCAGCTACTGAGGCTGTCGGCCGGGGAGCGTCCCGAGTCCTGGCGCCCCTGTGTGAGCGGGCCCTGGTGCTGCTGGTGAGACGGTAGCTGGCCATAGCCTCCTGGTGTGGTGCTGCTGGATCGATCTCTAGGAGGAGAAACAGGTTCGGACTTGATGTGCAGGCTTTGAGTAGAAGGCAGGGAGAGATTTGAACCCTGACATAAGTGAGAGCTAGAGCAATTTCTGTAGGAAGGAAAGGAAACGAAGGGGGTTACGGATCGGAACGAGCGCTCGTGCACTCCTGTACACAGGTGGCAGGAGATACAATCAAATCAGTGACATTGGTCTAAAAACACTCAAACATGGTTATTGCAGAAAGGAAACGCTGCATTACTTTAGAAAACAAAAGAGATGTTTATTTCCTATATAGTGACAAAGAACAGTAAGAGAAAGTGCGAGAAAGTTGCACATGTTAAAGGTACACTATTGTTCAAAATTAACACAATACCTCATCAACACCTTCTTCTAAAAGGTATGTTTGTCTTAACATGATTCACTGAGCCTATTATACGTGTTTATATTTTAAACTTCGATGGAAATTGGGCAGACGTCACTCGCTTCTGTGTGTCTTGTCAAATCTGTAAATTGAGAAAAGTTGCTCTGACTTCTTTGACGTGAGTATGGTGTGGGAGATGTCACTAGTCTATGAGCGATAAAGATTGACATGGAGCAGCATAATCTCCAACCTCCAGGGAATCACCTGTATTAAAAAACTGAGGGATTTGAAATGTTGTAAAAGCGATGTGGATATGGTGTGTATAGAGCTTTTGAAGTGGGCCCCACTCTATGGAATAATCTCCCTATTCAACTTAAAATGGCTTCCATGCTATCTGAGTTTAAAACATTTGTTTGGATTAGCTTTTAATATGTAATTTACTTGTATATGTAATTATTTTTTTTTTTTGTTCTTTGTTAACTATTTTTATTTTATTTTATTTTTAATCCACCATATTTTGACTGACGATTGGAATGTTGTGGGTGCAATGTGTATTATACTGTGATTATTGTACAGCACTTTGGTCGGCCAAAAGCCGGTGTTTTTGTCGATTTTTGCTGCCTTGTCGAAAAATGCTATCGTAGCGCGAATTGATCACAGAATGCCGATTAAAGTCGTATGAAATACAATTATAATGCAATTCTAAGTTATGAGTAGCTACTGTATACTGTACACTACTGTTTTTATTTTTAAAACGGTGTGAAAAGTAAAAATTATCATACAATATTCATCTTTGACTTGTCAAAGTATGACTTTCCTCATAGTAACTGAAACTTTCAGTTATTCTTTTTCAGCTGGCTGACCGTACAAATATTCATATGGTAGTAAGCATTTTTTAAAGGGAAATTATACATTATAACAGGAAAATGTACCTTTTGTATATATAAAAAAAAAAAAAACTGAGTCTGCACATGCGCATAACTGGTGAGTAGCATGAATCGTCAGAACACCGGTAGTAAATGTGCTCTAGAAATAAATGAACTTGAACTTGTTATTTATTACTCAACAAGTGAGTAAGGTATTTTATTGAACAGATACAATAACATGTTGCTTTCCAACAGAGTTTATTGTAAAGCATTATAGGTTTAGTTCACCCAAAAATGAAAATTATGTCATTCATGACTCACCCTCATGTCGTTCCAAGCCTGTAAGACCGTTCAAGATATTTTAGATTTAGTCCGAGGGCTTTCTGTCCCTCCATTGAAAATGTTTTTGTTTGCAGCGTGCGTCTCCCTCAGACTGTAAATGAAGCTTGGGCGCACTGATAACACATCAGCAGCGTCTTACATCACCAGCGCCACTAAACGCGTCTCGACAACAGAACCGGAAGACAATGCAATGCTGAATAAAGTCGTAGTTTTTGTTATTTTTGGACCAAAATGTAGCTATATTCGATGCTTCGAAAAATACTAACTGATGTCACATGGGCTACTTTGATGATGTCTTTATTTCCTTTCTGGACAAGGACAGTACACCGTATATACATTTTCAATGGAGGGACCGAAAGCTCTCGGACTAAATCTATCTTAAACTGTGTTTCGAAGATGAACAGAGGTCTTACGGGCATCAATGACATAATTTTCATTTTTGGATGAACTAACCCTTTATCTATTGTGAAGGGCCACTTCATAATGGTTGTTGAAGTACTGTGCTGGAGTTTATTTTCAAGGAAGTACCGTGTCTATTAATGGGTAAAGCTACAGCAATGTCTTCAGCTAGTCAACTAGAGATAATTTCCATCTAAACTGATTATATCTCTTAATCCTAGTAGTGAATATTTTATGAACAGTAGGATAACAGTATTGATATTCACAAAGCCAAAGCACAACCAAAACAATGTTCTTCTGCAAAATGCATGTAGTTTTGTTTTTGTAGTTACATAGTGTACCTTTAAGTGCATAAGGATTGATATGTGTATTTGTAATTAAGTGTGTGTGTGTGTGTGTGTGTGTGTGTGTGTGTGTGTGACTCACCCCAGCTGACTGAGAGCAGAGTGCTGCATGTTCTGAATCTGATGTTGCTGCCATCCGCTCATTGAGCCCAGATGCAGAGTGTTGGCACTGTTGAAGCCAGATATAGAGGACAGATCTGCACTGCTCAGAGAATATTCTAGAAGAAAAAACACATGATCAGGGTTAATATTTGCATCCTAAACAATTGATGGAGCTTTTCTGGATAACAATAGCTCCGCCTGCTGGAGAGACAGAGCAACACACAGACTAGAAAAAAAGAGAAGAGATTCTAAATAATAATAGTCTGGGTTTAATTAATATATAAAAAAGCTGAATAATAATTATAAAACAAAATATAAAAAAAAGTAATTACAGTAATTACAGTTGTAATAGATTACTGAACAGTATTTTAAATTAATGCACTAATTATATTATATTATATTACATTACATTTATTAATTTATTTATTATTAAACACTAAACATTACAATTACTAAATTTAATGGTATAACTAACAAATAAAAATATATATTCCTCTTTAGTAAAACATTTGAAACATTCTGATTAAGATGTCAACGTGTGTATAAAGTGTTATGAGTTTTAATGTAGTTGAGGTACCTACCAGTACCATATGAGGTGGAAATGGCTGATGGGTAACCGCCCATTCCCTGTCCCGGTAGAGTGGGCGTCGCTACAGAAACCACTGGGGTCGCCAGTGACTGTGCAGACTGAGAGTTGTTTATTCTCTGGTTCTATAAGAAGAGGAAGAGAGCAGAAGAACACATATAGATGACCTGTCACGTCAAGAGGCTTGAACATAATCTGTATCTTCATCAAACAAACGAGAAAGAACCGCCCACCAAAATAATGAAGGAAAAAAATGGCCATTTGACATGAAGCACCACTGAACCTTCTCAACCTATGATTTACAATCCCTCATATGGCACTTGGTCACTATAGAAACTCAAGGTCTCCAAGGCAACAGAACCAGTAAAAAGAGGGGTTGGAGGTGTTTTTCTTTTCCTGGATTGATGACTGAATGATGCGACAGAGATTAAGAAAATAAAACCAGCGATAAGGAGAGATGGACACGGAGGGAGTCAATAAGACCTGAGAACGAGACGACTCTTATAACCACTAGATGTCACTCTGGAGCTTGGTTGTGTGGATGTTCCTAGTTCACTACTACGAAATTGCGTTTAGGCACTTTGGCGTTTGAACAATAAGCTACATCTGACCACACACTGGTCTGATCATTTTATGTGTATGAGGATGACAAATGGCCTTCAGATCTACTAGCCTACGCATGTCACCGGTTTGAGTGACAGTGTCACTTACCAATAGAAGGTCAACATCCTCAGACTGATGGCAGTAAAGGAAGGGTGATAAATCCAGAATTAGTGTCATTGATTGACAGTGAGTGCAGCTCATAGCCGCCTACGACACTACGTGAAGCTACAGACGCGTACTTCACCAAACAAGACCAAACCTGCTGAGGAGTTTCTACTACTCTAACCTGTGCTTAGATAACGAAACTACTGGAGAGGAAATGAGAAGAAAGGAGAGGAGAACCACAGAGGGTTACAAAGGAACCGAGGCGTGTGGTTTTATGGATGTGGTACTATCGTGGCTGTTAGTAAAATTCAACACAACACACTTACGATGGAGGGCATGTTGTTCTTTGCCCCGGGTGGGATGAGCACTCGTAGGTCAGGCTTACGGCTGTTCATGCCCAGGTTCACCGGTGGAGGGGACTTGGCCTGCATGCTCTTGTTCATTCCTCCGGAGGACACCAGAAGTCCTGGAGAGTTACGGTGGTTTCCATAGCCATTTCCTAATGAGAGACAGACAGGGAGGGGGGGAAAGGCGTTAGACACAACATCAAACTTTCACCATGGCACCCAATTTTAAGCAAGCTTCATTTCACTCTCTCGCCTGCACCAGAATGCATCATTTCCACCGTCATCTACTGTGAAGCCTCCATTCAAGCCTGTCTGCAGCTCTCCACACGGTTCCAGTGAGCCTTCACCACATGCAGCCATTAAACACTGTTTTATCCGTTCTGGAGTATTGCAAGCATCTTTCACCAAGAATGTGCTCTTTCAATTCAATGTTTCCACACCATTTCACACAACTTTCACCTCCACCACCACTCATTCATTTGTACCAAGCACTTGGTCAACACACCCTCTCATTCACCCTCCATCACACCAAGCCAGACTAATTCAGCTACCCCAAATCACCCCGTCACGCTCAGATGATTTTCACTCATGAAATTATTATGATTCAAAATATGAGTATTTTTTTTTTCTGCCTCTGCATGAGTAAAAAGATCCAAGCTCTGAGTTCAACCGATTGTCACGGATAAGGTACATAATTTTGTCACTGATTCATAAGGTAAAACGTTCTGAAAATATTTGTTTTAAAACGGTAACATGTGAACTTTGAAAATGAGCAGAGATTAAATAAAATTGTATTTATTATATTCGTCAAAATTATGACATTACATTATCACTCATTTAAACCGCTTAAAATGCAATGCTTTATATAGATATAATAATTTATACATATAAAATAAATGTGTAAAATATAATAAGCATAATATTAAGCTTCAGAGTTAAACATGTTTTTTTTTTAAATGTATTTATATAAAGTAAAAACTAAACTACAAACTAAATTAAACTACTGCCGGAGAAAAGGATAAGGTTTTGTGAACAGCATCTGCTATTTAGGAAAACATTTACTGAAAAAAAGGAAAGAAAACCCAATTTGGTAGGATTAATATATATTTTTGTTAGTGTTATTATTAGGGCTGTCAAACGATTAATCGCGATTAATCGCATTCAAAATAAAAGTTTGTGTTTACATAATATACAGTATGTGTGTGTACTGTGTATAATTATTTTGTATATATATATAAATACACACACATGCATATTTAAGAAAAAAAATATTAATTATATATAAAATATTTATATTTATATGTAATATAAATTACATATAAATCTATAAACAGTATATATATCAAATATTTCTTAAATATTTGTACAAGCATGCGTGTGTATTTATAAATATAAAATAATTATACACAGTGCTCCCACATATATTATGTAAACACAAACTTTTATTTTGGATGCGATTAATCGCGATTAATCGTTGGACGGCCCTAATTATTATTAATTTGAAAAAGGCCAGGCCTAAAGTTGAATTCATATTGCTATTATTTTCTTTATGACATAACTACGATGCGTTACTGATCCTCTTTTTATTGAGGTCTTTGGTCTTCAGCTATGGCGTATTCATGACAGACTGCTTCAATGTTTCTGTTTCAGAGCAAACTGTTGCAGCATGATGTCTCTTTAAAAAAATTGAGAGATGAAAATGTGGAGTGTGGGTAGATAAAGATAAAGAGAGAGAGAGGTGGCTCATTTTGTTCCTCTCGTGGTTTTGCGGTAAGGAGCCAGGTGTTTAATGAATAGAGACAGACAGGTGGCATTGGTAACTCATAATGCTTTAAGAGCTGATGTCAAATGAGAGCAAAACAGTAAAAAAACTTTATTAGGTAAAACATTTTAGTTCAGTATTAGTGTTATTATCGAGCAGAACATCACTGGTTTTGTTTCAACACTTTATATCAATTAAATTCACAAATGGATTTTGAATATTCCACTCATTTCAATACCCTTTATTTCAACAGTAAAGGATCCACTCCAAGTCCCATCTGGAGCACAATGGGAAGGTTGCCACTATCACATCTCATTTCCCAAGGCAGCAGTCTCTATGAATGACATAAAATGCATGGCCCTTAACTACTGACAGTAAAGGTCGTCATTTGGCAATCAATGATAAATACATGTGTGCACATGTGGCTTTCTCTTATGACTACCACAAGTGGATCAGACAAGCAATCTTTATTCCTCATCCACAATTGCTAACCAAACTTCATCATCTCCAAAGAACCAGAGGGGTACATTATAACTCGAAAAAAAAAAAAAAAATAGGAGGGATCGAGGAAAGAAGTACAGAGTCTTTGTTTCAATCCAAATCCCTCTTCTTCTTTTTTTTCTTTCGAGGGGGAAAATGTGAAGTGCTGCATGGCTTTTGCCACTTAAAAGAGGGTTAGGAATTATACGGTAGACATAAATGAATTTCCCAATCATACACTCGAGAGGAAAACTAGACGCAGATGTCGTCCTCGGCAATTTCGCCCTGGTGATCTTTCTTTAATTTGAAGGCGATGGTTTTTGTTGTTTTCAAATGAGAAGTCTCGAAAGCGCAATTTGCACGATTCAAGGAAAAGAAGGAGGACATGAGCCGGGAACCAGGAAGAGCAACTGTGATTGTGAGAGATTGTGTTGGTACAAGTGTGAGCGGGTGGATGTACGTACAGCGCCATGTGCACTGATGCATTTCCTGTCTCCTCATACATAGTGAAGTACAGGGCTCGAAAAACAGCTGGCTGGAGCTCTTCTCTACACACTTAAACAGCCACACTTCATTGTTCGCAGTGGAGATGAGGAAATAAAACTGCATTTGATCCCCTTAAAATACATCTCCACACTTAAAAAGGAATATGACGGGCTCAGTACAAGTTGAGCTCAATCGACAGCACTCGTGTCTCATAATGCTGATTGCCACAAAAATTAGTTCAACTCTCGCTCTCTCTCTAAAAACAAACAGTAATCTAGGTTACAATGCAACACTTACAATAGAAGTGAACCGGGGCAATTAATACACATACAAATATTCACTGTTTCGATAATATAGCACAATTTTACTAAGAATTTTTTTCTAAAACTAACATTTGTATTTAAAGTTTCCATGTAAAGTTATAACTTTGACCCAATGCCATAAACTAGAGTAAAAAATAATGATTTAAGCAGCTTTACGTACCTGCTTTTATAAAGTTATGATCTGCACATTTCTGTTTTTAAATCTTTTAAAATGTTACACCTTTAAATCTTTAAATCTGCGTTTTTGTCCCATTCATGTCCATTATACAGTAAGTGCCCCCATTCACTTCCAGCATGTATGCTGGTATCAGCATTATGTCACATTTGCTGTTGGTTGGGCTTCACTTCTGGTTTTGAAGCCAAATATTCCTTTAAAGGCTTTAACAAATAAATTAGCGCCATATATAATGTTTACTGAATATCTGTGAATTTTAAACTTTTTAAGTTCAAGCTATTTGACCGAAACACCGTGAGAAAATCCCAATCATTTCTGTAATTATGACAGCAGAAAAAGACTGATCGACAGAACCATTCATAGAGACTGGCCTCTGTTCTGCTCTGGTAACCATAGAAACATGTGATTTCATGATATGTTCAGGTTAAGGGCCCTGTACAGTACAGTACACCCTGAACCAATCATAAACACGTGGACTGCTCACATCACATGGAGAAAGATCTATTTAACAACAAGAGCGCTGCCATTGGTAAGCACCCTCATATGATACTGTAATAATAATATATTAGTGAAACAGATTCTTCAGGCTCTGAAGATCGTCAAATGTATCTATTTACAATGTGTTTTTGCAGTGGTGAGCAGTGTAGCCAATCAGAGATATAGTTATTGATCTCTTAGGGCTCAAAATTCCCTTTAATATTCAGTGCTGAGTTATGAATGCTTGTGAAACCGCTCATTAACAAAGTGTAGACATGATATAAGTAAGAGGTTTATTCTGCATTGCTGCCAGCTTCATTGATTTTAATCGACCTTTGTGAGATCGCAATTACCTGACAAAGCGACAGCATTTTAGTGATTGTAAAGGGAGTGATCTTGGCTCGCTTTCGAAGCTGCAGCCTATATAATCCAGTGAATAAAACTAGGACCGACGGCCAATTGCATGCTGCAAAGTTTCGGAAGTGACATTTACATATACATACTGGATTCACTCTGTATATGACAGGTTAAAATTGTAATGCAGCAGTTAAAATGCAGATTAATAGATTAATAGAAACATATTCATGGCAAAATATATTTTTTAATTATATTCCAACTATTGGTAAAAGTGATGAGTTGTCAAAAATCTTAAATATCTCACTGTACACTGCTATGGAGGAGTACTAGAGCACCCTCAATAATTTAAGAAGCACCCTCAGTGATTTGTTTCTGGAAACAGGCCTGGCAATTGGTGATTAGCAATACCAAGCAAGAGTTTAAGTGACCCGTCAAGAGCATACAGTCAGAAATGATGAGTTCAACTAAGGACGTGTGCTAGACACTGGTGATGAATGAGCCACGGCGATTTGATTTATGGATCAGAAGCAGCACAACTGGGATTCAGGTGGCCAATAAGTAGCACGAAACTTATTTAACTCTTTTTTTTTTTTCCGTTGCTTGTTCTTTAAGTCACTGAAAGCGGCATCTCAGATTCAAAACCAGTGCGCTTTAGGCCAAAACAGTGTCCATCTTCTGACTCACGCTGTTTCCCTTGCAAAAGCCACACAAGTATCTTCCCTGTGTGCTTGTGGCCCAGCTATCGCCCTCACAATGGGGAAGTACTAAAATTACAGCTGCCCAGAAACGAGCGGTCCCCTCCTCACACACAAATCGCCTGATGTGAACACGTGATAAAGGAGCCGATTCTATTTCTGGGGCTCCACAGAGGAGGCTTAACTGTAAATGGGCTTGGCCTAAGTTTCCACTCAGCGTCAAATCGAGCTGACCAGCTAGTGTGGTTAAGCACACGCTTGCTTTCCCTGCGAGTTGGACATTGTCTGATTTCTTATTGTGGTGTAACGGTCGCATTAATCCTGTTGTCCGTGTTTGTTGACTCGGTGTTGAGGTTTCAGGCCAGCCTCGGTTCAAGCAACTGAAAGAACTGCACATGCACTGCTACTTCAATGACCCGTAAACTGCAGAGGTGTGGTTGGAAATGCCTGTAAGCGGTAAATTAACAATAAAAAACATCGAAATAAAACACTTAATGGACTTGCTACTCACTCCTTCGAGATAAAATAGACTTTCTCACATGTGTTGGCTGACCTCTCCATATCTCATAGCACAACATGTGTCGCAGATGCATAAATACATGTAGCAGAGGATTTGCGGTTGTCTGAGAATGCCAGGCTGACAGCCAAACAAATAACTGTAAGTGACTGACATCATAACATGGCACACTTTGCTAGAAAACACCACTCCATAACATAACTTTAATAAAAATAACATAAAAACATAACACAACATAAAAAATATGTTCAAATATATACACACTAGACACTACTGTTCAAAAGGTTCTCTTTTTTAATGGTTTTGTCTCTTATGCACACCAAGGCTGTTTATTTTTTGTTCGTTTTCTGTTTTTAATATTTGTAAAATGTAATCAATTGCTGTGATGACAAAGCTGAACTTCTAGCACCATTACTCTTCAGTGTCACATGATCCTTCATAAATTATTATGCTTTTTTTTGTAAAGAAACATTTATTATTTTTTATTTTTTATTTATTATTTTTGACATTATCAATGTTGTAAATAATTGTGTTGCTTAATATATATATTAAAAAAAAAATGTTAATTTCTTTAAAAAAAATCTTACTGGGTCGAAACTTGGTGACTGGTATAAAAAAAAATATATGTACTTACAGTAAATATTACTAATCATTGCATTAATAGTATATTTAGAATTATATATTAATTGCTATGGTTTCATTCTTAATGCAATGCCTGCACTATACTACTACTACTAATAATAGTAAATAAATAATACATTAAAAAAGGGATACTAAACATCTTGGAATCAATAAGTAACTAAGGCTGCTAGAAGAGAGCGAGAGAAAAGGAGTCATGAATATTCATGTATTCTCTATTAGACCATTAAAAGGCTGCTTGTGTCGTTTGACTCTCTTCAACTCTTGTTTCCAGAGTTGTGGCCTACATCAACTCCACACTGTGCCCTGTGTTAGCCTGTCGTCGGCACAATGGCTATATTTGATGGCTGTAGACCTTGAATGTGGACAGCAGGGCCACACCAACAAGTGGTACTATTGTGCTTTCGAGACAGTGAGAAGAGGGGGTCAGTTGACAGACCTTACCCTCGCCCTCATACAATGGACTCAGGGCCAGACAAGGTTACCCAGCTGTGTCTCAGCAACCCGGAGGCCAAGTTCAAAACATCTACTATCCCGCTTTAAATATCCAAGCCATACTTCAGCAGTGACCACTGGTTAGTGGTTAAGACTGCAGACCTACACACACACACACACACACACACACAGATGCGCGCAGACGCAAACAGATGCACAGACACGCATACACAGACGTCCACATATACCCACAGACTCTGCGGCAACCACAAGCCAAAGCACCAATCCGACTGTATAACTATTCCTTTCAAGTGGATTGTTCTGGTATATAGAAACTCATATACAAATTCTCCAAAAGGACTGGGCTACTCGATGGAAAAATATTCCAAGTATGTCTAACTCCAAACACACGGTAGCCCTTATCCTACAAAGTACATAAAGCAGAAGTACAGGGTGAGAGGAGAGCTGTGAGCGCGATCATTTTCAGACAAGAACTGAAGCAAACAAACAAAGGGACATGGCTCAGACAGTACAGGATATCACTAATGCCAATATGCTTGTTTACCTCTTTACTAAAAAGCTGATATTTACAAAGCTTATAGGGATGAACATCTCTATCTGCTTGAAGAGCACACAACAAGAGATTTCACCAAACCTGACCAATTCAGTCAAGAAATGGTTTAATGCTAGTTGCACTAAAAAGGATTGGGGTCAATACAATCTATTTATAAAAAAATAAAAAAAAATAATAAAATAAATGTTACCTAATAATAATAATAATTAATCAAAGAAGCATTAAATTGATCAGAAATCACTGCAAAGACTTGTACGATGTTATAAAAGATTCATATTTCAAATAAATGTAAAGTAGCACAACTGTATTCAACATTGATACTAACACGGAAATGTTTCGTGAGCACCAAATCAGCATATTACAATGATTTCTGAAGGATCACGTGACACTGACTGAAGCCTTGAAACAATGACTGCTGAAAATTCAGCTCAATATTATTATTTTTACTGTATTTTTTTTTATCAAATAAATGCAGCCTTGGTGAGCATAAGAGACTTCTATCAAAAGTATTAAAAAATAGTAGGCTACCGACTCCTAAACTTTTTGCTCAAACTAATACGCTAAGTGTGATAATACTGATACGCACATTAACACAACACAACTATTGTTCACACAGTAATCATTTCGCAAGAATTGAAGTGAAAAAAACAAAACCAAATATTTTCAGTTACTGAGGCTGTTGGGTTTGAACCAATCCAGTTCAGTCCAGTTCACTTAATGACTAAAGACTGCGGAGAAATTACTGTGAATACAAGCCCAGCTTAAACAAACAGACGTTTTGCTGAAAATTTGCGAGGCTGGTTAGAGCTGGAAGAGAATTCGTGCAGTTATTGGCTGAGTAAAAGTCATGATGGAGAGGGAACATACTGTAGTATGTGGGGATGCCGTCCTTACCAGCACTGGTGCCCGCGCCAGTGGAGAGATCAGTGCCCATCAGACCACCTAGCATGAGACGAGAAAGACAGAGAGAGAGAGAGAGATTCATTCAGCTGACATCCATATCCTACCACAAAATCGTCCTTCTTAAAACTGTCTGATCATTTATTAAGCTCCATCAGGCCATAAAGATCATCCTCCCTCCCAGCATGTTTAAGAGCGAGGGAGACCGAAAGACAAATATAAGGTGACAGAGACGTGTGTGTGTTTGTTTGTCTGAGAAGAACAAAACACTGTCCTTTTCCACCTCAGCACACTTTTCTAAGGAGGAAGCGATGTGGCCTACGGGGCTCGACCGCGGTGTCCAAGAAAAATTACACATTTTTATTTTTAAGCATGCAGGGGAGCAAGTGTGGTCAGAGGCGTGCAGGCTGGGCCAAAACTCATATTTAGCTAAGCGCTCCTGGAACACAGAGCTGATTGCATCAGGAGAAAGCCGTTTTAATGACAGAGCTGTGGGTGAGAGACTCGGCCTAATGAAGCAAGACAACACAACAATAACAAAGTGCCAACAGGATCGTGCTGTACACTCTAAAAGGAAAGGTTTCTATGCAGAACCTTAAAGGGTTCTGGTCAAGAGCATCATATATAAAACCTGTTTTGGGGTTCCCATCATGGGATCATTTTATGGTTTACTCTTTTATTAATTATTACATTTTAAGTCACGTTATATTTTGATTTAATCATATCATTTAAAGAGCTTGTAAACATATGTTTTAAATAATCCATTAAACATGAAAGTATTATGCAATCATTTAAGACATTTCTCCTTATAGAAGTTTTAAGCCTATAGAGCCACTGAATCCTTTTTTTTTCTTTCTAAAAATGTATGAATATTGGCCATTGGAAAATACAGATAAAAAGGGAATATGAATATAAATATAGGGGAATGCTGAGTATTAAATTAATTATTGGTAATATTATGCTGTATGTATGGCAGAGAATTTGTAACACGTCTAACTTTAATAGTATATTAATTATTATTATTTTTAAAAGTATTTTTTAATAGGACTTGGCCACATCAGCAGGATAAAAAAGTTGTTTCAGGGGCAATTAAAGTTATATTTTAATGAAATATATGTATTTTACAGTCACACTATGCACAATATGATATATGTGTGTGTTTACCTGCACTAGGTGGTCTGTGTGTGACCCCAGGAGACATGCTGTTCCTCTGCAGGCTGTGGTGGGCCAGTGGAAGCAGGTTATGATTGCCTGGGTAGATCTGGTTATTCACTGGGATGGGCATCTCGTAGGTGGAAGAGGGCACCGCCTGTTTGGAGACAGAAGCAATAAATACCTTTAAAATATTGATTAGTAACAAACTACAATAATAATGGTAAAAACAAGTTAAACGCACTGAATAAAAAAAGGCAAAGTGTGTGTGTGTGTGCGTGTTTGGGGGCGCGGCATGAATTTGAACATGAACACGTAACCTTTTGATTTTTAAAATTTTTTACAAATATATTGAATGCAATGTAGGAAGCTTGTTTCCATCACATAAAAGAAAAAAAAAAAGGTAATTGCGCCTGTTCTGCGTACAATTCTGACTTTATTTCTCGCAATTGCGGGTTTACATCTCAAAATTATTTTTCTCAGAATTGCATGATACAAAGTCAAAATTGGGAGGTATAAACTTGCAACTATGAGAAAAAAAAGTAATAATTTTGACTTAATATCTTGACTTAATTACTTGACTTAACTTTATATCACACTTTATTTTTCTCAATTTGCGAATTTAAATCTCGGAATAAAACTATTTAAAAGATAATTACGACTTTTTATCTCACAATTCTGACTTTTTTGTGAGTTATGTCAGAATTGTGAGATAAAAAATTGTTATTATCTTTTAAATTGTTTTATTCCGTGGCAGAAACAAGCTTCCATACACTGTAAAAAATATTGTTGGTTTAACTTAAAAAAAATGAAGTAACCTGGTTGCCTTAAAAAGTTCATTGAAATGGAAAAAAATTAGTTAATACAATGAAGGAGATTGATTTAATCATCAGAAACTCAAAATATTATGTTATCTGAACCACATTAATTATTTATAAGTTAATGACTTTATAAGTAAATTAATTATAAGTTGATTTGACAAAAGAAAAAAAATGCTGTGAAAAATATGCTTCACAAAAGAAAAATATATATATATTTTTTTTACAGTGTAGCAATGGCATCAATTCTTAGAGCATTTTCTCGGTTATCTACCCTAAAGGAACAGGCTGAGATGACTCTAACTTCTCTAAATCTCTGTAAATCCTCTTGTTCGTGTCACTCCAAAAGACACAGGCTTAACCTTGAAGAGAGTCCTTCCTCCTTCACATTATGTTTTCTTAAGGACAAAATAGCCCCTAATTGTAGCCATGTGTCCAAAGGGTCTGTAAGTGCTCATCTGGGAGAGCATCAACTGACAGGAACTGAAGAGGAGCCTCTCGCTCTTTCTCACTCTTTCATTCTTCATTAACTCACAAGGCCACAGCAATCATGGCTTGAGGCAGACAAATATTTTCTCTCCGCAGAGGTCTTGGCGGGCACAGCTTCACTTTTGTTAGGTGTTCATTTTTCCGTCTTTACCTTCATGTTCTGTTTGGAGTCTCAGAGACCCTAAGGCTTTTTAATAGCTTGAAAAATATTAGTTTGATGCTTCATGACTTTTTGGAAATTGTATGAGAACTAATTTATAAACCACATTCATTCTAACCTTATAACACCAATCAGTTATTGTACATTGATTTTTTTTTTCTCCCTGGAGTAATAGTCAAATATGTTATAAGACCACATTCCTAAAAAGTGCATGTCTAATCTCTGACAAAACAGAGGGATACTGCTTTAGTAAATGTCAGCCTAATTTAATTATATAATTGTTTTTAATAAAATCTATTAAAAGTTAAAAGAAAATAAGGGGTCAATATCTAAATTACATTTTTTTTTTAATTGACCCTAAGCAATAATAACAGTCAAGCTTAACAAAACATGGGGGAATCTTTAGCATCCTTAGCAACTGCATCCCTATTTTTAAATGAAAGAAATTTCCACATCTTCTTGTGTACGTGAGGCTGTACATCTTCGGCATGGTGCCTTTCTTCCTCTTTGTGTAGAGTACTCTCAAACTGGTAAAAATATAACTCAGTTACTGTGACCACAGAGCGAACTGCAACTATCTTCCCCACTATGGGCTATATGTACGCATGAGTTCCGCATTTGACCTAAGGATGCTCGTCTGTTTCCGGTTGTGGAGATTAAAGCGGAGGAAAACCGAGGAAAACGGGATTATGGCAGAGTCTTCAAAATTTACTGTCCTCCCGTCTTTGAAACGAAACTTTCATACGTTTAGATGTAATTTTGTATATAGTTATGTTTATTTAATATAATTTTACAGTAAAAAGAAGCATAAACACAATGAGGGGAACAAACAATAACGTTTCTTTAGTATAACCATGGAGTATAAAATTCAATATAAATTCTCGGTATTGCATTGGACTCTACGATCGGCGGAAGTTATTGAGCATAGAGCCCATTACTGTATTTACCAGTTCACCCAACCCAACCTAATTCCCATAACCAATAAAAGACTGTAGCTAACTGGATATATATATTTTTAATCACAAAATAAATACATATTTAAATCATGCAAGTTGCTAAGACTTCCAACTTTCCTTGAAGATGATCTTTTATTTCTAACAGCATTGGCAAACTACCAAGACAGACAGACAGACAGACAGATATATACAGATAGATAGATAGATAGATAGATAGATAGATAGATAGATAGATAGATAGATAGATAGATAGATAGATAGATAGATAGATAGATAGATAGATAGATAGATAGATAGATAGATAGATAGATAGATAGATAGATAGATAGATAGATTTGTGCTGATTTTTTATTTAATTATTTTGTTTTTTCTGCGTCATATTTTGAGATATTTGAGAAATAATACTGAACTGATCAATATGAGGCTAACATCATGACTCTCAAGCTTTTATAACATGCAGTATATTGTCTTCAGTGGAGCATGCTGTTTTATTTCTCTTATTTCTTAGTAGCTAGGGAAGCACATGCAAGATTTGCAAATTAATTAACATGTAATGAAGAGTATCTATTTCTGAATACCAATCGGTGGAAGGCCTTCCAAGGCACAAAACACTCTGAAATGACTGTTTTTCTCAAAGTCTTTGTACTTGTACATATTTTAGTCATATCTCAGAAAGCCAATTATCACCCATGCATCCAATGGCAGTGCCAGTATATACTAAGTATACTAAATCTACATGATATATATTTTATATGAGATCTATATACGGCATTAAATCAAGATTAAAATAAACTGCTTTTTTTGTCTCTGAATTTGTTAGCTTTTTCCACAAAACTGTTAGTTTTTAGCCTCTCCTCTCTTTACTGTACTTACAGATATCTTCTGAGTCTTGATCATTAGATCAAACTCTTCATTAATCTGTTTGTATTTCTCCTCCGTGCGCGGAGTAAGAGCGAGAGCAGACTCGAGCTCCAGGCTCTCGCCGCCTTTGTTCTCCTTCTTGCTCAATGCCTGATGGCCCGCACAGATCGAACAGTGAGCCAGAGCACAAAGAGAGAAAGAGAAAGGAAGTATGAGAGGGCTAGTCTGAAATGCAGGTACTTACACATATCCTCTGTCTGCTGATCATGTGCAGATCAATGTCGTTGTTGAGTTTATGGAACTTGTCGTCTGACTCAGGGCTGTGGCCCACCGAGTCGTCTGCGTCGGGGTCAGGACTGTCACAGCCATTTAGACCCTTCTTTCTCAGGGTCTGTAAATACAAGTTTGCACACAGTTCAAATACCAACCACCATGTAGTCAATCAGGTGGGTCATACAAGCTGTATTTAGACAGGATTCAACTGAAGCTCACTTAGGTATTTGGAGGAAACTATACCTCAAAATTTTTATGTAAAGTCATGTACAGTATAGTTAAAAAGATTATAGGGTCAGTGAGATTTTTTTTTTTAAAGAAAGAAAGAAAGAAAGAAAGATACATTTCATTAATACATCTACAAACAAACAAAGACACTTTAAATTAAGCTAAAGTATAAAGCTAAAGCAGTAAAGACATTTATAATGTTACAAAATAATTCTATTTCAAACAAATGCTGTTCTTTTGAAAAAAAAAAAATATTCATCAAAGAATATTAACTGCTATAGAGCTGGTAAGTCCCACCCCTTCCGCTAACACCTCTGGACCTCTGGGTTCAAAAAATCATCAATGCAAGTGAATGAGAGAAAAGAATTATTTTCTAATCCCGTTTGAATTTTGCAATCAATGTGAACAAATGTTGTCTGTGATTTTTTTAGAGAATTTTTCGTGTAAAGAATGCTACAATTTTCATACGGTTAGACTTTGTGTGAGAACACTTTGTGGACTACAACTCTTCGCTGCTTTCGACGTGTTTGATATACGTCACCACCACTAGCACACAGATCCCGCTAAACATGCCTGTGTCTTTGGTGCACTTCACCGCCTTCTTTCAGAGAGAGGACAAACTAGTTGAGCGTGGTGAAAACCGTGATTTGTGGAGGGAAAATGTGTTATGAGGTGACGTCACATGCAACGTGTAGTCTTTCTCGTTATGTCTATTCCACAACTGCTAGCCAAAGAATCATACAATATACTGTCAAACTCGTTGCATGAGAAATTATATAAAAAATTCACGGACAACATGTTCACATTCATGGCACAATTCAAACAGGATCAGAAAATAATTATCATTCACTTGCATTGATGCTTTTTCAACCTAGAGGTCCACTTGGAGTTTTACGGATGGGCGGGACTTACCAGCTCTATTCAAGAAATACATGTTTCTTGAGCAGCAAATCTGCATATGAGAATGATTTCTGAAGGATCATGTGACACTGAAGACTATAAAGGAATAATGGCTGCTTAAAATTGAGCTTTGCCATCCCAGTAATAAATTAAACATCAAAATATTGTAAAACAGAAAACAATTACTTAAAATTGTAATAATACTTTGAAATATTACTTTTTTGCAATATATATCAAATAAATGGTGAGTATAGGAGACTTCTTTCCCACCAACCCCAATTTTTTTTAACCATAATGTATATGAAGAGTGCAGATGCAAAAGCCTCTAAATGCCATTTGAAATTTTCTTCCTGAATGATGATTTTTATCAAACTTGTATATTTAAGTTCAGTGATTTCACTTAAATAACAATTAATAGGTAATCATCATTGCCATTTAAGTGAAATCACTGAACTTAAATATACAAGCTTGATAAAAATGATCATTCTAGAAGAAAATTTCAAATGGCACTTGGAGGCTTTTGCATCTGAACTCTTCATATGAATTTAATAATAATTTAATCATTTAATCATTTTTAGGCATTTTTTTTTACAAGTTACATTTTATTCGTCACTTGTGGACCACAGTTTGAGAACCACTAGTGTAGAAACGTTAAAAGGTTTATTAACCATGGAATTCAAGCTGACATTTTATATTTTAGAATCTTGTTTGCTTTAGACTATTTGCATAAGGTCAGGTTATTTATATTTATCTAATATAAAATAATCATGCATATTCCTTGTAAGTCAGTGTAAAGGAAGTTGTCGAGAGACAAGATGACACACACAAACACACACACACAGACAGGAAGGACCAACCTAAAATAAAACTGTTAATATTTAACCAGGTCTGGGTATCAAAGAGAAAAATGTCTAAATGTGATTTCAGGAGCAAGGAACAGTCCTACTGCGACTGACCACATGAGAGAGACGCCTATAGACCTGACCAAAATAGATTAACAGAGAGACGCCCAATGAACATAAACGATATTGGGATTATTTTGATATAACCAATAACATTCTGTAGACAAAAATTGTGTGATGATGAAGCTGAAAAGTAGTGCTATGCTTAAGCAAACAAGCTAGTGTAACAGTACAAGAAAGAATTGCGGGCTCTTCTGATATATTAAAGCAGCAGTTTCTCTCTCTGCCACCTGATGGCCACCTTCTTGTAGGAATGAGATCTTCCTCCAGCAATAAACGTCAACCTATGAGCGTATTACTTTTGCATTAACACTAACACATCTTAAATGATTTTACCATCAAGCCATTGTGTTCATTCAATGTAGAGATTCTGCAATCCTGAGAGATACAAAATAAGCTGATATTAGAAAAAATTCTGAGAGAGACATTACGTTTTGTTCAGTTTTTTTTTTGTGATAAGAAGAAATAAAAACTTCTGGCACACTACCACATGCCGCACCAGACCCAACCCCCTTCAACTGTCTCGTGACATTATCTGCACAAGGTTCTCGAGGAGTCTGACGTCTCATCAAAGCGGGAGGCGCTCCGCTGGATCAACTGGCTTTAAGTGTGGCGTGGCGGGATATTAGCCACCAGCTAACATATGTGCAGCTTGCGCTCTCACACAGAGTCCTTCTCTGCCTTCATCTGCCTGTCTGAATCAATCACACAAGAATTAATTTACTCTGCTGACGCGAGGGCTTGATGAAGACGGGTTTCTCATCCTCTTTTCTTCGCTATGACACGCTTCTATTAGGTGTTGAGGGAATGTGTGGAGAGCGGCACTGTGAGATGAGAGCTTTTTTTTTTCTTCCTTTATACATTTTGAGCTTATCAAATGCTTTGATGATGAGTACCAGTCTGGTTGTTTTGTGCGACTGAAATAGAAAATGACAGGTTTTGAGTTTAAGTTATTAAAAAAAGACAAACTAAACAACTTCACAATGCAATATATCTGTGAATTACTGCTCCAGGTGTCCTAATTGTGGTAGTCCAATCAAATTGGTTACTTCAAAAGTGTTTTGGTTTTTTGATAGGATGCCCCCTAACTAGCAGGACTCAGGTATTGCCTCGACACCAGGGTGGGGGAAGATTGCGGTGTTGTCGATCTGCTCAAACTAGGCGCGCTCAACTGCCAAGACGTTTTTTGGGTGCGAGTTATAAAACAGTGAACACAGTGGTGTTGTCGATCTAACGCAACGGAGTGCAAAGAGGCAGAGTAGACTATAGTGTGCTGATGGGAGGCCATGCTGGCTGAGTGAGCGCTCAAGCAGGGATCGGCAGTTTAAGACCCAGCATGAAGTCGCTCTGAACCCCCTGACAGTCCGCAGCTATGCCACTCATTCCAGATATGTGCACCTGTCAGAGTGTCCACACCTGTCACCAGCCCTCGCAGACACACACACACACATGTTCTGCTGTAGGGTGGTAGAGCTAGACAATCACACAGTGTATGCTGAAGATGGTCATAAATGGCTTAACAAACATCCATTCCCCTGAGAGAAACAAAATGTGCTCAGATGTTGCTCTCTCATAGCGCAGGAGGCTTAGTGGATGTCTTAACTGTACTTCTTTGAAGCATCATCTTTTGACACAATAGAGTACAGAGCTATAAAATTAATTATCACAGCTCAGGTAAATTTAATGGGACGTAAATGTGACTTTTGATTGCAGATTTAGTAAATATGAGCATAATTCTCAGTAGAGCAAAATTCTCTATTTGAACTTGTGAGAAATAGAGACATTAAAAATATCTCATAACAAGTGACAAAAATCATATAAACAATGCTTAAAAAACAGGTCATACTAAATAATAAAAATGCATTATTCATACGCAATAAATTCATACTAAATGTATTAATACATTGCATTGAAATGAATTAAAGAGATTTTAGGCTCATTTTTTTTATCTATAAACTTAGGATACTTTAGGGACAACCAGTGACAACAGATCCATTTGGTTTCTTGGCCTGGGATGCGTTTCCCGAAAGCATCGTTAGCCAACTTTGGTCGCAAGTTGGTCGCAATTTCCATTGAACTCTATTGGTAACGACGGAACTTGCGACCATAGTTGGCTAACGATGCTTTCGGGAAACGCACCCCAGTGTGAGCGAATGAGACACGTTGAGAGAGAAGACACATTACATTACTTGGGTCTCTTTGTCACTTAAGCAAAAGTCTCTATTTGAACTCCATTTAACGGCATTTAGGAGAAACATTTGAAACTTTAAAAAGATCCCATTAGTAATTTTGTTTTCCCATGGGTTTATAATGACTCATAATCACTCCTATGCTCTTCATTTCTAAAAGAGGGGAAAACACACAGCCAATGCAATTGATTTCCCAAGAAGCAACGGCAAAATGAATGCTTCTAGTTTGCCGGTCTAAAAATAAGATACAGTAGACAAACAAACACCCTGTACTTGGACCAAGCAGTGAGAACATTCTGACGTCTTAATAGCTCCGCGAGATGAAAGCTGCATGATCGTCCTTCCAAAACATCGATGAGAAGTAATCAATCTAACAAAGTGGAAAATGGCCAGGCGGTGGTGAGGGAGGGGGCTGATAAAAAGCTAAAATGCACAGAGATAGTCAATATAGAGCTGTGGAAGAGCAGCGCGGCTGGAGGTTTCTGAGAATCAAGAATGGGTGAAGACAAGGAAGGGAAAAGAGTGGGAAGGAATGTCTCCTTCAATGGTATGCTCCTAATTAAACTTCTTCATACTTCTCTCCTGGCTCCTTCTGTCAGACCTCCTCTCTGGGCTGAAGCCTAAATAATGGACTGATATCAACTACGGTCTTGCAATTCCAGCTGTAATCAAGCCAGAGAAACTCTAGCTCAAGTAGCCAAAGGATGATTCCCTACTGTCTTCACTACTGATCATTTTACTCTGACCTCTTTTTTAAAATCTGAACAGTGTCCAGTGCTCATTTAGACATCTAGTTAAAACCAGGCCAGATTGATGAGGGATTCTGACCCAGACAGACC